GCTCCCCGCGGCCCGTCTCCCCCGGCCCCGCCGGAGCGCAGTTCCCCGCTTAAACGGGGCGACTCGGCGTGTGGCTGCGGGAGAAGGGGCAGCGGGCAGACGGGCCGTGGGTGCGCATCCCGCGGGCGGCTCCGAACTGAGAGCAAATCCGGTAGAGGGGACGCCGCGCCACCGGGAACCCGGTGCCTGTTCCTTAAAGTCGGGCTGACCTTTATAATGAGTTTCCTATGGAGGTCAGCAGCCGGCCCTTCTCCCACACGTGAAGTAATTCTGCAGTTGGACCGTGATAGCCTTCCGAGGGAAAGAGCGTTATTTGGGGTCACGCGGGCATCGCACATAATACGTTAGGCTGGTGGGGAATTTCCACTGTAAGCCCTCCGCCTTAAACATGTAGCGATACGGTTAAGAGCGCTCGGGTGGTTTTTAAAAAAATGATGGATTTAGATCTTAATGGGTTCGGAGTCCGATATAGCTGTTTTGTTTAATACCTTGCTGCATGCTGTTAGAGTGGGAAGTCAGCTAGCGAAATCTGAAATTCATGCTTGTATTCGTGAACTGAATCTTCAGTCAGATCTGTTGGTTTTTCCTGGAGAAAATGAAGGCAAAGAGCTAGGTTCGCTCAGCGGCTTGTGGGGAACCTGGCACTTCTCCTGTTAACTTAGAGGTGATCAATCTTCATTGGGATCAGGCAGACCATCACGGAAAACACACAGCCTGTTTGTCTTTATTACTGGGGGCTTTGTTGCATCATGGGCTGGAGAAATTCCAATTTGGACTTTTGTCCAACACATTTGCGATCGGATGGGGATAAGTCGATGACATTTCCAACACAGAGCCATGAAATAGCATAATTACTGGGTGACTTTTGAGGACACAGAGTCTGTGAAATAATAGAAAAAAGTGTGTGAGGTAGTGGGGAAGAAGGACTAAGAGAAAGACCGAGGGAGAAACAAGAGAAAAAGTGGAAAACTGAGGACAGGGAAGGACAAAAGAAAATCTGGACTCTATCATTTCATCAGCAAGGTTATTGTGCTGCGTGCATTAAGATGCAATCATCCCGTATTGTTCCTCTTGCTAGACCAAAGCTGACATCTTTTTTTTCTTTTTTTCCCTCTTTACATTTGAGGTTACGATGACAGAGAAAATGATCTCTTTCTCTGCGACACCAATACCTGTAAATTTGATGGGGAGTGTTTAAGGATTGGAGACAGTGTGACTTGTGTCTGTCAGTTCAAGGTAAGAAGATTGATATTTTGTTCTCTAATTTACTAATGAGAATACAAATCAAGGATCTCCCTTTATAACCTATCGCTTGGCAATTCATTTCTCTACGTGCAGAGAAGTTAGAGGGAAAACCTGGCAGCATGTATAAAAGCTGGCAGGAGAACCAACTGGTGTCAAGAAGACATAAGTTTCTCTGGGAAAATGCAGATGCTGTGGCTTTAAATGTCCCTTCTGGTCTGCAGCTTCAGGTTGTGCATTTCTGATTTTTCGTCTCTGCCCTTTTAACAAGGATTTAGAGTCCTTTCTAAATTCATTTCTGATACAGATCATGGCTTATTGTATTCGGAGTTCTGATCTAGTTAAAGAAATGGATCTGTAATGTGCTTATGCAATATTTTCAGGAAGGGCTACATAGTGACAATGCTTCTGCCTGTTTATCTGCCCAGCTGATCAGATTAAGGAGCAATCCCTCTGTTCCAAAATCATGAACTTCCTTTAGGTTTTATATACTTTTGGGGGGGGGGCTATTACTGAGTACTAGGGGTTTTCTTTCTCTTTCTTCTCTCTTCCTCTTGCAGCTACATCTAAACCTTAGGCATTCTTAAAGTCAGACGATTTCATTATGAAGGATTCCATTTAATATGTTTTAGTCAACTCACAAAACAGCTGTGCTTTACATAATGACCTGAATAAAAACTGAACAAATTAAAGGAGTTTTAAGCATGTACCAGCACGTGTTGCATGTACGTTTATGTACCTGTGGTTTCTTGCATTTTAATGCAGATCTGTGAAGCTGTGGAACTTGTAACGCTGATTTGAGTGTTTACAGTAGAGCAGGCCAAGTAGTGCACAGTTCAAGATCGTGCACATCTGTGATGATTAAGTTATTATTGAGCTTTGATAGACTATTTGCTTTGAACCATGACAAGTATCGTTTATATTTCTAGAGCCAAATGTGTCTTCAGAGAAAAACCCAAGTGATAAATTCCTTCTTTTAAAACAAAGAAGGAATTCTCTGTAATAAGAACAAGACAGTTGTTTGCAGAAGTGTTTGTGTTTCCCGTGTTGGGAGAGAATTCATATTGACCATGGGTGGGTTTTTTTGTTCCACTTCTAGTTTGCATGCAATCAAAAATTCAATGTGAGAATGCTGTTCTAAGCATTTGCCTTGGCTCAGCATGTGCAGTGATTTAAGGGTTGGTCTGTTTTCTCTTTCTAAGGCAAATCTGTAATGCAGTGAAATGTCTGTGACTCGTCCCATTGCCTGGTGGTAAGCTGGGGCAGATGTTGCCCCATGAGCATGGGGAACTTAGAGCAGCCACAGAGAGCACTTGGGTCTTGTCTTTGGTCCCAGTTCAGTGTTGCCATTTGGCACAGAGCAGTGGACTCGTAGCCTAGAAGGAGCAAACTCAGATGTTACTATCGGCAGGGAAGAAGGCATTGGGAGTGCTGTTTTCCCAAGGCAGAATGCTGGTCCCTGGTGATTCAGAGTACACAAAGCTAAGTAAACCTCTCTGGGCTGTGTTGCCTCCTCTTTGAGAGGTGAACGCTATATATATGCTGAGTTGAGCAGTTCTGTAGGGGCGGTTGAAACAGATTTAAGGAAATCAGATAATTGGTATATGAATATGTAAATGAGATCAAAAGAATGAGTTGGGCAATGGTAGGCCTGATCGCTAGTAAATGGGTTGAAATTAGCAGTAGTCTTTGGTTTCAGTGGCCTTTGGATCAGGCCCTGTAAACACTTAGAGCTCTTTGTCTTGATTTGAGCCCTCCGTGGAGCCGCAGGGCTAACTGTGACCTTGGAGGGCAAATTACCTGTGGCTGAGCCTGTGCCAGCGCTGCGAAGGGCGGTGCGGTGCCGGGGGCTTCTGTAGTCAAATGCGTCCGCTTTGATACAGGCAGAGCTTGGGGGGATGTTACCTTCTCTTGTAACATCAGTGGACAATGTGACAAGCCAAAAAGATATGCCACCAGAGTAGAAAATTAATTTCTAGTGCGGTGTCTGAGACTGGTCGACTAAGGCAGAGCTGGCCAGGTAATTTATGTCACGAGTAAGGGGCTCCTCCATCAGAATTCAGGTCCCCCATTTAGGTGGCAGCTCTCTGGGGTGATAGTGAGCAAATCAATAGCAGACTCCTCATCACTATAATTACTTTTTATGTTTTCTCCAGAATTTGCCAGGGGCTTTAACTGCAGCTTGAGAGAATAGACAAGGACAGAAAGCTAATTTTGCCTCCATACTGTTGAAAAGTCCTGGGCTGGCCAGCCTGTGTCTTGAGGGGGTGGGAGAGCCAGAAGTGGGGACCAGAGCTGCTGCAATCTTGGTTTGGGTTTTTTCAAACCAGAATCACAGATGCATCATGTCTGTCCAAGCGGAGTTAAAATTAATTTATTTTTATTGGAAAAGCTGAATATGATCAGACTGCTCTGGAACGCCTGAGTTAAGCTTCCATCCCTGAGAGCCAGCAGGCACATGCTAAGAAAGGGATTCATATCAGTTGGCTCTCTTGTCGTAGTCTACTGCAAAATGATGGGCCATTCACTGACTTGTCACAATGAGACCTGTATTGCATTGGAAAGCACCGTGTCCTCTTCCGATCAGTAATGTAGACCCATCCCCTGCTCAGGGCAAGCCCAGACCTGGAGGCAGGCAGGAAGGGAAGGCACCGGGCCAGTGCTGGCTCTGGCGGTGGGGCTGAGCGGGGGAGAACCACCACCCCTTCCCTCCCTGCATAGAGCAAACTCAACGGTCCACCAGAAGGTGCAGAGCTGTGCCAGCGGGCATGGGGTTGGAGACACCGCTGGCTGGGGTCTGTACCCCAGTCTGCCCAAAGCCATAGGTCTGGCAGCCTGGGTTCTCTTCCCTCTTAGGTTTCATGAACATATCTAAAATTATACCTGGTTATTTCCATCAATGTTGCACCTCTTTTCTCTTTAGTCATCAAGACTGTGGACATTCACTGTTTTTTATGTGACGAAGGAGTCCTGTTTTCATGCGTGTTGAATCCCTCACACGCTTCAGTGTTTGTGGAGCTGGAACATCACCTGGCCACCCTGCAGCTTTATATTATATTTCCAGAATATATTTTTGTGCTACTTGGTTCAAGACATGGGTGGCATTTTGGGAGTAGTTAACCCATGAGAGTAGGAGGAGGTCAAACTTTTAACAGTGTTACCAGGAGGAGGAGTTACGCAAGTTACCATTTTCTTTAGAAAACAAACCTTACTCTTTGGGTGCCCAGCACTGACCCCAATGCTTGCAAAGCTCATTTGTCCCTGGCTGTGAGCACTTGAGGCTGCTAGTACCGACGAAGGCTGCGTTTGACTGATACTTGGCTGAATTGGATATGTCCGTTTCCCTGCTCTACAGCTATATTTTAAAAACGTGTATGTATAAGAGAAGTGGACAGTGGACATGGCACCATGCTGCTGGGTTTAATAACAGTTTTGACACGGATTTCCCCGGGTGCTGGATCAACCCTTACTTGAGGGATGGAGAATCACTCCCTCATCTATGGCTTGGTCTGTTGAGCCCTAAACCAATGCCAAAAATGTGTCCCTAGGCTGAGGAAACTGACAGTCGATGTCTATTCTCCAGTACTAGCAAGAAGTATTCTATGATGGTGAAGAGCTGCAAGTATTGGATTCAGCGTGGTCAAGTACAAGAGTCTAGCTCTAGCGGGTTAGGAGTAACCTGGTGACTTAACATCACAACCTTCTCATCGGTGGTCTTGTTTTCTTTCCTGGTTAACTTCCACTATGGTTTGCTGGTGGCTTTCAGAGCCATCCCAGCTGAAAGCCAAGGCAGGATCCATCTGGAAGATCTCAATTCTTTTGTTTCTTGTGGATCCTGCCTTTTCCATCCAAATACTCATTGTCCAATGGCAGTGGTGGGAAGAGTGGGCAGCAGATGAAGAAATACACCTTTGTCCAGCACAGTTTGAGAAAGAAAAGGCTGCATCACCTGTGCTCATCATGGAGTACCCTCTACCTCCTCTGGCCAAAGCCAAGCTTGAGTGTGACAGGAGCCACAGGAGATACAGGAAAATTCTGTCAGGAGAGTTAATCCTTCCTGGAGCCCTGGTGTCCCTCAAATGCATTTTAAAATTGCCAAGCTTTGGAAGAAGTTCCAGCCTAGCTCATAGCAGCTCTGTCACTCGTTTCTGTGGATCAGGATTTCACTCTTGATGCTGTGTGCTGTTAATGTAGGGCCGTCTGGCCTTTCAGATTAGCAGCTGAGTCAGTGTAAAAGATCATCTCTCGCTCTGGGCGAAACCAGCAGAGAGTTTGCCACTGTGTTTCTTGGGAACAGGATCCAGCATTGTTTCTACATGTAACAGAGCCTGTTGAGATACTTGGGGCCAAATTCTGCACAGATTGCTCTGGCAAAAAGTCCCGTGGATGACAAGCAGATAGTATGTCTAAAACAAGCATGATTTGATCCTTCATGCTTTAAAAAATTTGCATGATTGTGTTAATTGTCCTGGTTAAGTATTCCAGATCAGCCTCCAGCAATTGCTGTTGAGCTTCTGGATGAAGTTGGCATTTTCTGCTTGAAACATGGCTCAGATTTGGAACATAGTGGTGAAAATAGCATACAAACACTTTTCCATCAACTGTTTAAAATCTCGGCGTGGAGGAGCCCTTCGTTAGGGGCAGAAGGAGAGGATTTCTACTGTTGTGGCTGCTGGTTTTCTTGTTCCAAAGGAAGAGAGCGCTGGGGGTGGGTAGCAGCTTGGGAAGATTTAAGAAAATACAATGCATAAGGAAAATGTCATTTGATTTGGCCCAATCAAAATGTCACTCTGACCAACTATGAATAATTTCTTGGCAGCTGCTCTGTGTGGAGGCCTGCAATTAATGCAATCTATGCAATTGTTTGTGTTAATCACTTCTGTAGTCATTCGCTTTGAAGCATATTTGATGTTTATATGCCTGGAATTTCAGGTCTGCATTTTACATTGTGCCTGGTGAACACACCTCAGACACTTTGTGGCATAATACAGCTAAATAGGAAGCATGATTTCTTTTTAATTTTTACTTGGATTTAAGCAGAGGTGAGCATTTGTAAATAATAATTGTGATCATTCCATTTGTTATAATTAAACAATGAGGCATACCAAGAGTACGGTAATCATGAGATAATCATATCCCTCTTATAATTACCATGTACAGGGTACATCCAAGTATCTCTAAGCCTCAGAGTGTGATTATCTTATGATAACTGCACCCGGTAGGTTGCCCAATTTTCAATATAAAATGGAATTATTTTTATTAAAGTGAGCAAGAGAGGGCAAAGCTGTATTTCAGGGGTAGAGGGAACAAAGCAGGTAGTTTGCAGAGCTGAGCGGGAGTTTGAGCCGAAGGAGGGGTGCATGGCGTGCGTAACTTCTGCACTCTTCGGCACGCTGGCTGAGCTCGCTGCGGTGCTGCTGCTCCTGCACGCTGGCCGCCGCGGGGAGAGCTTGGACCTTTGTGGAGCATCCCAGCCGCAGCTCGCTGGGAACAGACATGTCTCTGCAGAAGGAGGGGTGGGTTTTGATCATAGGTCTCAGAAATTATTTCCCTCTGTCCAATCAGTTCTAATTATAGCTAAGTACTTAAATAGAGAGTTATACACACACAGGCGGACACTTCTGTGTATGCAAACAACTGTCTCTGTAGCTGCCAGGGTGTGTATGTGCAGGAGGAGGAGGGGAAAAGCGAGCCTGTTCGTTACAATTTGTCTGTAGCCATCCAATGGAAATGCATGAGCTGCTATTGCAGATGCGAGGAGCCCTTTGCCTTGTCCGTATTCCTTCCCTGGGAATGCCCCCACCTTGTTCTTGCAGGGGGAGGCCTCTCTGGGGGCACTTATTGAACACTTTGCCCATTCAGATTACCTTTTCCCTCACCAGTTCAAGTCTGGTTTATGCTCCTCTGCCTTTTGTCTTTTTTGAAATCCACCCTCCCTCTCCCCTGGTCGCTGTAAAGGTGAAGAAGAGGGTCAATGCCTCCCTCTCTGTTGTTTCCCCAGGGTTTTAATACTGGAAGGGGGCAGGGGGCACCCAAATGGATGCCGTGCCACCCTGCTTGTGTGACTAACACTGCTGCTCTCTGTCTGTTCCCATCAGTGTAACAATGACTACGTGCCCGTGTGCGGCTCCAACGGCGACACCTACCAGAACGAATGCTACTTGAAACAGGCTGCCTGCAAGCAACAGAGTGAAATACTCCTGGTGTCCGAAGGATCGTGTGCGACTGGTACGTATAACGTACTCCAGGCTGCCTGCGGACCTTGCCATGCCCCTGAATAAAATAACCCGTGGATGGCAAAAGCCATTTGAATCCCTGCTTTGAAGTCATCATGGGATAATTCTTTGCAATCTTAGGCATGAGAAATTGCTGCCATCATTCCCTTTTAAGGAACTAACTTAGTATAGGCTCACAGTCTATGATACAGTATACCCTTGATGCTGTTTTGAACAGTGCAGCACAGAAGTTGATTTCTTTTTTTAATGCGTATCTTGTGCTCCTGATCATCCTGTGTGCCGCATACACTTCTGAGCTGTTACGACAAGTAACTGGAAGCAGATTAAGCTAGCAGATGTCTGATAAATGGGCATCTGGATTACCACAAACCTCTCTATAATCTGGAGAGATAGAACTGGAGCATTATTGCCTGCAATCCAGTTTCTTAGGTTTTTCCTTATGCATGTAGGGCCAGATTTCCAGCTGGTATGATTCAACAGACCACTGGTTGTAATGAGCCCTGCCAGTTTATACCAGCTGAAGATTTGGCCCAAAACACACTCAATGAACAAGTCTGTGCAACAGGGGTTTTTTCTGGACTTCTTGGAAGAATTCATTAAAGAGCATATGTGAAAACTGACTGGTATTTGAGACATCTTTACTTAACTCTGAGCATCGTGAGCTATTTGTATCTCTGCTTTTATGAAACAGCTAGAAAGGTGTATGAGCGAAATCAGTCAGGAAAACTGAGTTGCTTATGTGCAGGAGTTCTTGATGTTTTTCTTTTGTGCTCAGTATCTGTTAGAGGTGGGCAGTGAAGTTAACTTGAAAAGAGCAGGAGGAGTAAGTCTTTGTTCTTGAGAGAGTTCTTTAAACTTAAAGCAGAATTTTCTTCTTGGCTGAGGATGGAGGAGTCAATAAAAAGTGCATTAGACAAACTTTTTGCAGTGCTGTAATTTTGTGTTTTGTACACCTGAGAGAAAATAAACTTCTTTCCCTGGAAATGTTGTTCTTCTCTGAAGCTGTTACCTGACAATTTTCAAGAGGAAGAAAAAATATGCTGCAATTTTTTTGTCTATAAATTGGTATTAAACAGAGCTCAGGCTGACAAAGCCTATTGTGGCGTAGGATTTGTTCAACTTAGTAAATTCTCTCAGCACAGCAACTGGTCTTTTTTGGTTCAAACTTTTTGATTAAAGGGATAATTTTAGTGCCTCACTACATCTTTTCTTAAACTTGCTTGCCTACTGGCAATGGCTGTGTTGGAAGCATTTTTTCTGAAGCACATTGTGGATTTCAGAAAGAGAGAAGGGGAAAAAAAAAGAAGGTGCTTTCCTGAAGTCTTGATCATTTGGGCTCTTTTTCCTCCCCCCAGGGAGGAGGCTCAGTGGAGAAGGTAGCAGCCGTGTACCTCAGGTTTCCCCCGTGGGATGGAGCAGAGAGAGGGTACACAGGACCCCCAGGAGAGACTGGCATGGGTCTGGGCATCAAAGGGTAGGGGCAAGAGGAGGGACACCTGGGGAGACCTGGCACACCTGGAAAAGCAGTGCTTTCCAGAGCCATGAGGGCACTGTAATGAAGACACCATTCTTTCCCCTTTCTTCAGAAGCTCATTTGGGAAAGCATCAGGACAGAAGGTCAGATCAGGAAAATGCAGGACATGGTCACTGGGAAAACACCACCATTTTCTGTTCTCTTTTTCAGCCCCCTTTTGCATCTGTCCTATGCAGTCTTGCTGTGTAAATCTACCTTTCTAAGCCATTCTTGTGACAGGTTTATTTAAATAAAGGTTTTCCTTTTTTTAACTTTGAGCGATGATGGCATGTACAAGCCAGTTCAAATCCACCAGACCTTGCTGTCAGTAAATTAGATCTAACAGTTCACAGGGTAATTGGATCCCAAAGGAGCCTTTCCAAAGTCTTTCTATTAATCTTGATGCTGGTAAATGGATAACCCCTCTACTAAGGGGGAGGATGGGATGACAACTTTCCTCCTTTCCCTGCAAAAGAAACTCCTCTTGTGGATTATTTTTGGTAACCCTACACGTGTGTGCATTTCTGTGCTTTGCCTTGCTTAGAAAGTTTTGAAATGAAGCTCCTGGCTTGGCAATTTCGTGATGTTGCACTTTCTGAATTTGTGACTCTTGTCATTCCAGCCAACAAAACATCAAGCAGAGGAGAAATAAAGATAAAGCACTCAATTTTGAAACTCAGCAACAACCTCGAGAAAAATGGCATTTTAATCATTTATCTAAAGACTTGGAATAATAATAATTTCAATTGTTTATTCCAACTAGTTATGATCTGATGAAATGTCACTGTTTTGTAAAGATAATGATGTGAATTTCTAATTGGTCAGGCCTCAAACAAATGGGTTTTAAAAATTCTCTTTGATGGTGAGGGTTTAGTAGTGGGCAAATGAAGTAACTTTGCACAACTGTTGGGAACAAAGGTTTATCAGTCTCAGTACAGCAAAACGAGTCAGAGGCTTATGAGGACGTTACAGCACTCCAGGGCTTATGTTATTTTAGTCTGATATAGAGACTTTAAAGAAAAAGAGTTGAGACATGAGGAAGATGGCTTGAGTGAACTATGTTCAGATTAGATCTCTATAATTTACACAGGGATGACATCGAATGTAAGGTACACTGTAATACACTTAACAGTCTTGCTTTGCATGTTTACAGGACATACTGTAGCATATGAATACAAATTTCTTTCTATTCTTTTCTCAGATGCTGGCTCAGGATCTGGGGATGGAGGTAAGAGCCATCTTCTAGTATCTCTGGGCTTATGTGTACTCACATTGTCTTTCACAATTTCAGATTGTAAGTGGATATGCTTTGCAGTTTAGTTGTTACACTACGTATTGTCTTTCGTTTAGCTTTTTCTCTGGAAAAAGTGACATTTTGCATTTTAGTCAAGCTGGAACCTAATAATGGCATGCTGTTTTCTAGGGAAATTCAGAAAGCTGTGTAACTTCTAATAGGACTTGGAATTATTCATAGGTTGTGCTAGGAGCTCTATCTCCATCTACTGTTACAGTTGCACTCATTTGTTTTATGTTTAGAGTAATATTTCTTTTGTTTTTAAAACATGAGCCAAACCCTTGGCTCCTCCTCACTGGAGGATTCAAGCCAAATATTTTGTGGTAACAGAGAGCATTCTTTCAAAGATATGAAGAAATGTCACAGGGAAAGAACAATGTGTTTTTTTAAGAACAGCAGCAGCAAAAATGAACGTGGAAATAGTCCAAACCCTTTGCTGCATACAGGGGATACTGTGAAATGTAGGCAAACTTCCATTTAAGTTGGGCGTTGTTTTTTTATTTCTTAGGTGCAGTCATTTATGGAGTTGCTTGTTTTAACACTGGTCGTAGGGTTTGTGACCAATCCTTCTGGGTAGTAGAAATGTTGGGTCTGGGTAGTGCCCTGCCTCGGGGCAGGGAACATGACTTTTGGGAGTTACTTGCATGGTGGGGCTGGTGGGTCAGGTTTCTCTGGGGGCTGGGAGGGCCAGGGCTGGTTTGGTTGGCTGTGCAAGGTTGTCCTTAAGAGTTACCCTCGTTTCTGCCCAAGCCCCCTGGGTAAGCTCTAGGACCCCTGTGGCAGGGGAAGGGCAAGCTCGGCATCAGGCTGGGATGCTGCTGAGGTCCCCCAGCTGGGACAGCCACCAGGAGCTGAGCCAGCTTTCTGCATAAGATGCAGACAGCAGGTCTGGGGTCTTACCCGGTTTGATGGCTGGTCCTGGCTAGATTCAGGTTTTTCAAATACAGTCCTGTCATTTGGCAAGATGTCACCTAGTCCTTGTGTGGTTTTGGTAACCAGTATATTAGAGAGCACAATGTGTAGGTAAAGTATTATTTTTACCTATGAAGTGGTCAACAACATGAGCATGAAGCACTTGCAAGGAACCTAATTTTCCAATATGGGACTCAGGCTGCTCTCTGGAAATCAGGACACTTTGACACGCTTAAATCTGGCTCCCCAGAAACCGCAACCTAAAATATTGCTATTAATTTTCAAAAGTTTTGTCCAGCTATTCCTATTTTACTCTAGTGTTCTTTTAAATTGTCTTTTTAAACTGTTACACGAAAGAAATTCCTAATTCAGTGCTTAACAGAAATCTACGATTTAATTTATATTTATGATAAGGTTTTCATGCATATGGTCAATAAATCAGTTTTCAAGTGAAGTTGCACAAAATTCATCATGTATGTACCAAGGAAAACAGATAAAATTTCCAGTTTGTTTTATAACTGGGGAGGTGGGGGAAAAAAACTTGGCTGCTTTCTAAAAGTAATGAATACTCAAAAAGCATAGGAATTTAAAAGCATAATTTCTAAACAGTTTCATTTTAAAAGCTAAGGTTGAGAAAACACAAGCAGAACAGGACCTTGGGGACTGACTGGGCAGATAGAAAGGAAGCAGATTTCTGAAGGAGACAGAACCAAGCTGGTGCATGTGTTTAAAGGTCTACAAAACTGCCTTGTATTATCCAAGATTTAGTAGGCAGCTATGGCTGTTCTTAAAGTAAAAAAGTATATTTATGTGCCCTAATAAGCTAAATCCAGCCAAGTAAATGTTGTCACTACATCACTCTTTACTAGACACGGTCTTGTTGTAAAAGCTGTAATAAATTTTGGATGTCATCACAGTAAGTCTTGTAAAATCCACTCCAACAGTCATGAGTGGGATGTTTTCATATGAGAAGCCTGAGGTCTTAGGCAATCTTGTGTGTTTTCTGTTTTTATGAAAGTTTTCCCTTCTTGCGCTTCTTCAGGAATTCTTGGTTAACAAACTGCTAACCAATGGAGCATCATTTTTTGCAAAGCTACAGCCATAGGGAGCCTCGCAGCTGGCCATACCTCTGCCTAAATCAGCAGAATGGGGCTGTGCTGGATGCTGCAAGTGTCAGAGGTGCTGGGTACATCTGCAGTGAGGTACCCGAGATATCTCAGATGCTGGGAGCCCTTAGGAACAGCCATTCTCTTGCTGATTTGCCCAGTGTCTTGCTGCTGTCAGAGCACCGGCAGGACACGGTCTAGCACAACACTTCGGTATTGCTGTTTGCTCTATGTTGCATCTACATTTGTTGTGTTTTTCAGAGCTGGCAGACTTTCTGGCAAGGTTCAGGTTTGTGTGACTGTTGCGGTCTGTCTTTGGGAGGTTCCTTGCAGCCAGGCAGACGGGAGGCTAGGAGCCCTGGGGGATTGCTGTGGGCATGGGCAGGCTGAGCAATGCCTCCTGGGCGCGGATTAGGAGGCTCTGGTTAAAAAGACAAAGAGTGGATGGACTTGCAGGCACCTGTAAAGGCTGATCCTTCAGTCTGAATTGCTGAGGACCATCCATAGCAGCAGGAATCTCTGCCTCTCAGCACTTATAGGTGGAAAAGGATGTTGCTTCTTACCGCAGCCCCTCCATATTATTCTCATGGGTTCCCTTAGTGTTTCTGTATATCGCTCCGCGAGCTGTGAGACAAGGGAACCAGCTTTTCAACAGAGTTGTATCTTGTGGTTGGATTTCTTTGATCTGATAAGGTACACATCGACTAGGAAATTAACTCAAATTGTGAACTACTAGAGGACACCGTGTTTTTCCAGTTCTTGGAACGTGGCAAGTTTCTTGCTTTGAGGTGGTTTCCCCGAGACCAACACCAGTTCAGCTCTCAGTACTGCTTCTCCCTCAATGGAGCTCTTGTCACATGAAATTATAATTGGTTAAAGGGTTCAGCAATTGCTGGGAAGGGGTTGGTGCAATGGACAGACATACACAAACACACCGTGTGGTCACACGAGCTTCGTTTTCTCAGGAAACTGGACAGAGCAGGAACAAGGAACAGTATAACCAGAGGCCATGTTTTGCCTGCCACGTTTCCCTTCCGTGTGTTCCTACCTGGGTTTGCAGAGCGGTCTTCTCACTTCATTATTTAGGAAATGGGGTTTTCTGCTTTCCTGTCAGAGATGCTGGGATCAGAGAGGTCCCAGCTTCTTAGCACATTAATGATCTTGAGGGCTTTCCAGAGGTGATTTAATCCTTCTTCATGCAGCAATAGGCTACCAAAGTCCCCTTATTTGTAAAGTGATGCGGGAATCTTAATCTCATTTGATTACTGAGCCTTCATCATGCACTTTTGGGGATATCCAGTAAATGGGTAAGAACAGTAGGTGTTCAAGTTTCTTACAGCAGAAGACATTTTTCCCTGTAAATGAAGACTAAAAATGCAGAATCAAGAGCAGTTTCTGTGTTTTGATTGCAGAAGCTGAGAGTATGGTGTGGAATTATTTAAAAACCCGTATCACGGAAAGATGCTAATCAATGGCAGAAAGAATGAATGTGAAAGAGTTTATACAGAGAGTAATTTAAAGAGATTCCATTCATTTTCATCTATGCCGTTCTCTAGACAACTGGGTTTTTTTAGAACCCAATGATTCATGTTTTGGTCTTGAGCAGCTTTATAATGAATTCTTGCTCGTTTCCTAGCTTCCTTCAAACAGCGACAAACTCAAGATGCAGTATTTCATTATAGCTCTTAATGTGATAAGAACATCTCTCCTTGGTTTCTTTTTTTTCATTGAACACTTCTTTTCCCTCCCTGCATTATCTGTATTCTTAGCTCTGTTGATTGGCTTGCATTCATAGTCCGATGGATTTACTATGAGTGACTATTGCACTAGGTGTTTCTGTGATCCCCAGCATGGCAGTGCATAAGCACCTATGTTGAATTCGTTTCAGAGCCTCATTCAATTTCCATTCAAGTCCTACTGGCTTCAGTGGGAATTATATGAGGCCCCTGGGTACACAGATCTTATCCTAGTTTGATTTTTATGTTAATGCTTTATGATCTAGATTAAAGCAGAATGAAAAAAAACAAGTCATAATTCAACAATATCATCGTCACCATTTATTTTACAGTAGCATCTAGAGGTGCTAATTGTAAGATTAGGACTCCAGTATTAGGGTGTACCACACTGTGAGGCACTTCTTCACAGTGAGGGAGAGAATAAAATCTGTGAAGCACAGTCTGGATATCCAAGTTGGGCAAAGGCTGGAAGTCGCATGATGCTTCAGTGGCTGAATTGGGAATAACATATACCACTTCAGAGCCAAACCGGCGCTGTGACTTTTGAACCATGCTGTTTGTCGCAGACCCATATGTAATCCAGAAAGAACTGGAGGTTGTTCTTGAAGTTATTCCTAATTTTTTAGACAAACCTGGAAATCAACAACCTTACAAGCCATCTTCTTTCCCCCCCTCTGTCTCTCTCACTTTGTGTGTGTGTTTTAAGGATGAGAGTGGCATTTTTGTTTGTTTGTTCATTCTTTCGATTTATCCCTTTAGTCTTATCCAGAAAAATTGAAGTCCTGCAGCTCTTTGTAGGTGCCAACATGTAGATTTAATGATAGATTTGGAATTCTGGTCTGCCTTTCCTGTTGGCTTAGGGATGTGTGAGTAAACACATACATATTATAAATCTGTATGGAGCAGCAGTCATCTTGAAACACTAACCCAGAGAAAATAGGGAAGAAAAAATTAAAGCTTGGAAACCTAAATTATTTTTTAAGGCAAACTGTAATGCAGCACGTGTATCTTTTTTTCTTTAATCAAAGACAAACGGCTACTTTGACCCAATTGCTTTTATACTTGTCTCCATGCTGGTTTTGTATGACTAACTTGCATTCAGCAGCTCTGCTGCTTTTCTACCTATTTCCCTTTCTGCTTTATTACAAGGTTGATTGATGGGCAGGACTATGCAGAACAC